CCGCCCTGCTCGGCCCGCAGCCGCCCGCCGGCGACGGCGACCAGGAGTACGTGAGCCCCGACTGGGCGGCGCCCGAGCCCACCGCGCAGCCGCCCGAGATCCCCTACGAGGAGCTGTGGACGCACCAGGCCACCGAGAGCCTCGCCGAGGGCAGAGCCAGGCCGCCCTCGGGCACCGACCTCATCTCCTTCGGGGCCGCGGGGACACCTCGCCTGGAGTCTGAAGCGCCACCGCCTCCTGTCCCACCCAAATCCGAGGCGGTGAGTAGACGCGATTGAGGTGCCAGGTGAAGCCAGGGAGCTGACCTCGTGACTTTTCATACTTTTTATGGGGCCAGCTTTGATAGATCATCCTCCAACCCCATGTAGGGAACGACCAGGAGCATTTGTGATCAAGGACGCCTGGAACAGTAGTAGCACTGGAGTTGTGCAACAAAGATGCCAAGTAGAATTTGCTTTCTCTCATCCTCAGAGAATTTAGGCTGAACCGAGAATAGTGTTCCCCAGAAGGTTCTAACGGAACAGGAATTCTATAAGTTAGCTGTCCAGTGAAAAGGTGGTTCCTTGGTGAGATAAGTTCAGAAAATGTTAGGTTACCTAATCGTCCCATGTCACTTTGAAGTCACAGAAGATTGTTATGTATTTCAAGAAGATCTGTGCAAGGTAAACCGGTTTATGCTTGTTAAATACAGTTTCTCCACACTTACAGAACATTTCCCTCTGCCACTTAACACCTGTGACCCCCTGAAGCCCACCTTGAGGCTCTTCGACATACAAGGAAAGGTCCACATTGTAGATATTTTCTTACTCTTTCTGTCTCTGTAACACTTATTTCCACTTCTTTCCTTTTCCTTGTGGCAAAAACACATGCAGTGGTCTGGCTGAATTTGCTGTATTCTTCTTCCATTCACGATTAATTTTCAAAGGCTCAGGGTTGGGGCCAGGGCCCCTGGCCTCTTCGTTGATCCTGTCTGCTCTCTGCTTGCAGGTGAAGGAGGAATGTCGTCTGCTCAACGCCCCGCCTGTCCCTCCCAGGGGTGGCAATGGCAGCGGCCGGCTCTCCAGCAGCCCCCCTGTGCCCCCACGCTTTCCCAAGCTGCAGCCTGTCCACTCACCCACCTCCAGCCTCTCCTACTACTCTTCTGGCCTTCAGGATGGGTGAGTCCATGTCTTCTGATGGTCCTGGATCTTCACGGGATGTATTGAGGTGGGGGGCATGGCTGAGGGCAGTGCTGAGGAAGAGGAGGTCTTCAAGCCCAGAATGTGAGAGGGTGAGGGTGCAGTAGTCAGGGGAGAGGGGCTCATTCCTTCTAAACAATGATGAGCATTGATGGGGTTCCTAGAGGCTCTCGGGCCTTGGGGGCTGCTGGGCTATGGGCCAGTGATGCTGGTCAGCTGTGGCCTGCATGGCCTGACGGAGCAGTGGTTTGCTTTGTTCTCACATGCCTGTCCCTTTCCCGCATGCTCTGGGCTGACCTTCCGTCTGTCTGTGTGTCTGTCTGTGCCCACAGGGCAGGCTCCCGCAGTGGCAGTGGCTCCCCGTCCCCGGATGCTTACTCCCTCTACTGCTACCCTTGCACCTGGGGGGACTGCAAGGTGGGCGACTCCTCGAGCCGCCCCACCCCGGGACCCCCGCCTTCAACCACACAGCCCAGCCAGGCCTCCAGGGCCCACCCTGAGCCCCTGAGCAGCCGAGCCACCTCTGCCTCGGGAGCTGACACCCCTGTTAAAACCTACCACAGCTGCCCGCCTCTGCTCAAGCCTTCGCACCCTCAGAAACGCTTTGCTCCATTTGGAGCGCTCAACCCCTTCTCTGGGCCTGCCTACCCCGCAGGTCCCCCAGGGGCCCCCTCTTCTGGGCCCACCAGCACCTCAGGTGCCCTGGCTACCTCCAGTCCTGCTTATTCTCCAGGCTCAGCCTCTCCAGGCCAGGCCTATTCAGCTGCTCCCCCGTCCTCCTGCCCTACTACTTCCTCTTCCTCCTCCTCTGAATGGCAGGAACCAGCCCTGGAGCCCTTTGATCCCTTTGAGCTGGGACAGAGTGCTTCTCCGGAGCCCGAGCTACTGCGCTATCAGGAGCCCAGAGCTGTGGGGGGACCTGGGTCTGCACCCCGTCTTTCACCCCTCGGACCCCCTAAGACCTTTGACCCTGAAGGTCTGGTGCTGAGACAGGTCCCCACCCCACTGTCACCCGCTGCCCTGCAGGGGCCCGAGGCAGGTGGGACACGAATCTTTCTCACCCAGGGGCGCCTTGAAGGGCCTCCTGCCAGCCCCCGGGATGGCACTTCAGGCTGGGGAAGCCGGGACCCTTCCTCCTGGCAGCCTCCTGCGGACCTGTCTGCACTCTCTCTGGAGGAAGTGTCTCGCAGTCTGCGCTTCATTGGGCTCTCGGAAGACGTGGTGAGCTTCTTTGCCCGGGAACGCATTGATGGCAGCATCTTTGTGCAGCTTAGTGAGGACATCCTGGCAGACGACTTCCACCTCACCAAGCTGCAGGTCAAGAAGATCATGCAGTTCATCAAAGGCTGGCGGCCCAAGATCTGAACTGCCCAGCTGATAGCTGTACAACAGGAATGCTGACGTGGAGGCCCTGGGGAGCAGCTGGGGCTTGCTGGGGAGGGGTCTCACTGAGTGGCCAGCGGTCCAGCCTCCGGGGAGAATCTGCGCCAAGACTGGAGGCTGCTCAGCAGCCATGCCGAGTGAATTCAGGGAGACACACTTGGGGATGTGGTACTCTGAGATCAGACTCCGTGCCCGGGACATCCTGGCTCCTGAGCATGCCGAGTGTATGGGGAGGGGCTGCAGTTCCACTGGGGATGGTTCAAACGGGCCTTCCCTTCACGCTCTGCTTCAGGACTTGACAGACTCCTTAAGCTTGTAGGTTCAGATTCAAGACAAGGAAAGAAAGATGGTCCATAATTTAAGCACAGATTCCCTAAGTGCCCCTTCTCCTTTGTGCTCTGTGGGCTTTGGCCTGAATTGCCCCAGAATCAGAGCTAGTGCTGCACTGTCTGTATCCTAGGGTTGCCCATCGCATGCCCTGAGCCTCCTTGACTTAGGTTCCTGGCCCCGAGCACAGGAGGATCAAGCACAGATGCCAGCCCAGCACCTGAGAGGCTCTGTCTTTGGGTTTTGGTCTGTGGGTGATGATTTTGGAAAAAGAACAGTTCTGCCCTTGGCCTACTTTACCTGGTTAGGGAGACAGGTGCTCCCAGATGTCTCAAGTGCCCTGGCTCCTGCCCTGAGCTCTGAGCCACACTCTTCTTCCTCTCAGGTTGGGTTCAGTCTTTGGACTCTTGACATAAGAGAAGGTGTCTTGAAGTTGGCTGCTCCCTGATTCTGTAGGGAAGGGGTTCAACAGGGAGGAAGTTCTCTCTGCTGTTTCCTGGCCTCGTCACTGGCACGGGTGGGCATATCTGGGAGAAAGCACAGTGCCTTGAGAAGACCTCACGGGGCTCAATCCTCCTGCGCGTGTTCACATGCGTCTCGAGCCTGGTGCCTGACACCCTCCACCCCTCAACTTTATTCTAACCAGAGCCACACTATTCTCATACCTGCTCCTGTCAGGGCCCCAAGGTTCCAGCCTTCTCTTCTGCCTTACCTAGTTGACATAAGTATTTATTTCCTCAGCGTTTAGAGTAGCCAAGCCATGCTGGTACTCCCATGCCATGAGCAGGCTGTCTCAGCTGAGGGAGGGGAGCCTGGAGGTGGGGTATGCAACACAGGAGCTGAAACCCTTGGTTTTCTTGCAGATGAAATTGGTGGGTCCTCATGGGCTAGTGAAATAAATGCTAGACTGTTAATGAACGGTGTGGGTGGGGCTCTAGGTGCCCCTGCTCTTCTGTGTGGAGGACAAGCAAGTCTCCCCTCTGGCAGGGGGGGACTTTGGAATGGTGTGTCTATGCAGCCCGTTCATGTGTCCCTGGAAACTGGAAGCCCTGCCTTCTTTTCTCTCTGAACACCCCTCACCTGCCCTTACAAGAACCCTCCGGATTTCACTGTTAACACCAGAATTCACAATCATCTACTGCTGCTGAATGGAAAACTTGACTTTGGAGCCCAGTACCGCCAGCCAGGACTCCAGCCACCTTCTGGACTCTGACATTGAGACTCTCAACCCAATACTTAAGAAGCCTGAGGATCGGTTTAGGGCAGGAGGTCAGTTCACCTGCCATTGTTACTGTTGTGCCCTCAAGTTGGATCCTCCAGTGGGTTTTCAGTGCCTGTAAATTGCACGGGAAGAGACTGCCCGCCTTCCTCCCTTGGAGAGGCTGGTGGATTTGAACCACGTGCCTTTGGGTTGGCAGCACAACCCATTATCGCTAGTCCACCAAAGCACCTTCCAGAGTCATGTGAAATTGCAACTTAGAGATGACTTGGTTTTAGGGTCTGGTTTCCTAGCAACTGTGTTTATTAGAGCCACAGCCAGGCAACAGGCTTGTCAGTCCCCACAGATCCTGGGCTGAGGTTTTCTGAACTACTGTTCTGGAGTACAGGCAGCAGGGCCTGGAAATATTTTAAAGCTTTGAATTTCTGCAGTATGATGGCATAAGCTGGCATTTTTACATGCCCAGTGTGGCTCCCCCTTCCGGCTCACGAGGAACCCCAGCACTGGTTGCCCAGACCAGGCACTGTCCTTCAAACTGCCTGGAGGAACTTTCCATTCCAGTAGGGCAGGGAGGGAAGAGCTGGGGTGACAGAGTGATGGTGTGGATCAAATTAGCATTCCCTGGGCTGTTCATATGATCGTGGGGGGGGGGGGGTGAAGAAACAGAGACTTAAGGCTCATTTCCCATGCCCTGGGCAGCAAAGAGGTACAGGTTATAATGAACCTCCTCCTCTGCTTAACTCCAGCATACTCCCCAACATCCCGGTGTGCACCAGCAGTCACACCGAGATAAACAGGCAAGCTAATGCCACGAGGAAATCTAGCCTGGGCTTTTGTATCCTGGTATTACATAGCTGAAGGGCCCTGGACAACACAAAAGGTCTGTCCTGGACTACTTAATGTGGTGGGTCAACCGATCCCAGTGTGGTGTGGAGGAAAGGCCTGGCAGTCTGCTTCTGTAAAGACCAGTCAAGGACATTAGGGAGCAGGTTACACTGTAACGTGGAGTCTTCCCATGTCGGGATCTGCACTGGGTTCAAGGCAAACCTGTTCCATCCCTGCTGCTTTTGGCAGAAGTTCAGCCAAAACATTGAAACAGCCAGGTCTGAATGGCTCAGAGAGTTCCATCTTTTGCGTTTGCAGTGCCTCTTTAACGTTACTACCTAGAATTCTTAGCACATTCTTACCCCAAAAGTGTGGATCTTTATTCTAGGTTGCTTCTTAAGAGAATTTAAACAAGGAAAAAAAGGAACAGATGGGCTGAAAGATTGTTTCGTTTTTATTGTTAGTGTGTGTTTGGCTGGGTAGCTGCCCTCCTCTCTCCATCCGCCTCCTGGCTGGGAAGAGGCGGCAGAGATGCTCCAGGGTCGCTGCCTCCTTAGGCTTAGAAACCATGAGCAGAGGGCTCCACCTTCCAGCATGAAGTCCAAAACCAAATGCACAGGCTTCACGGGATGGGAGAGAGAAGGCACTTTCGTCAAAGAGCAAATATAGTGCTTGAGTTTGTTTCCCTTCTGGTAATGACGGAACTGGACAGCCAGCTTCCTGACGGGCGTGTGCTGCTCATGGGTAGAACTTCCTGCTGGGGCTGCTGGCGTGGTCAAGCAGCAGCTGGCAGGGAGTGAACTGTTTTCCATAGGTGGCCTCGTACTTCTTGAGCCGGTCCACTACCTTCTGCGCTCCATGCAGATCCACAAAGCGGAAGGGCCCTGCGTGGAGAGAAGAGACCGGGGTAAAGGGGATGAACGTGAGCTCGGAGACAGAGCAAGCTAACAGCCTAGTGTGTTAAGACCCACCTCCAAGACAAGGGGGGAAGCCGAGCCCAAAAACGGCTCCGATGTCTCCCTCAGCAGGTGTGGCCAAGATCCCTTCTTGCAGGCACATGACCGCCTCGTTCACAAATCGTGTCACCAGACGGTATTGGATGTCCTCATCGAAGGAGCTGTGGACAAGAGGAGACCTTAGGTGAGGGGAGAGTCAGAGGGTGGGGAGGGGGGAGCTGATGGTCAGGATGTGAAGGGTGGGTGTCTCTGGCAGAAGACAGCCTGGGGGCCTCCCCATTCCTTCTGTGGAGGGTTACTTGTCCTAATTAATGTACAACAACCCAGGACAGAGCTTGGCACAAAGTGTTTGTTGTTGTTATGTGCCGTCGAGTCGCCTGCGACTCATAGCGACCCTATGTGGCACAAAGTAGGTAATCATAAATGTTTATCTTTAGCAACTGGCAGTTCCTCACAAGGAAGTGGTAATAAAGGACTTAGAGGGGGCCTCGAACAGTCTGTCTAGTTGTTCTCTGGGACTTCACTGCATGGTTTGAGAGGGGCCAGGCCAGGCTTAACTCTCGCCTTCAAGCTGGCAGAGCTGAGGTGGGATGGGAGGGCTCAGAGGGACATGGTGTGTGCCATGGTCAGTCTCAGCTGGATTTTCTATTCAGGGATGGATGATCATGACAAAGTGGACCTGGGCTGCCCGAGATCATCTCCGGCCATCAGCCCACCCAAATGACTTACACATCAGACACAGGAAGCAACTTAAGACTCGCCAAAATGGGATCCATGTCAGAATTCAAATTCTTATTCTTTGAACCCTTCGCACCCTGCTCGTAGATGTAAAAGCCCTTCCCAGACTTGCGACCTAAAAGAAGCAGTAAAAGGGACAAGTTCAGATTCTCAGAGCCCTGGCCGGAGAGTTCTCTCCCGTTACAAAGCTCGAGCCTCTCTCTGTATTCCTGACTTTGTTTATCCAGCTAACTCTAGAAATTCAGTCATTGGCAGAAGAGGAAAAAAAAATGATCTTGTGTTTCCTGAAGCTTAGAAATCTGTGTATCTGGATGAGAAAGGCAGCAGCTGGGTGGATTTTAAAGTCCTGCCCATGTGTTGATTGTGCTGCTACTTTGCCAAGAGAGAAAGCCACCTCTCAGGTGGACCTCACTGTACAGCACTGAAAGGTATGACTTTTCGACACAAGGAGCCACATGGTACACAGAGCTCTGTCACAGAGCACTCCACTGCAGAACCAGAGATGTACTGAAGGCCATGGGGAGGAGAAAGTGCCTGCCGGACTTGCATGCCATAGGCCAGCTAACGGTAGATACCTGGAGCATTAGGGGGCTAGATTTTGGGTTAAAATCTGCAGGGCCAGCCCAAGAAGAGGTGCTCACAAATTAATTTCTGCAATTCTCCATGACAGTGGGCTCTACATTAAGTACTCTGTTCTGCATTAAAAGGAGCTCTGGTATCACTGTGGGTAAATGCATCCTGCTGCTAGCCAGATGGTTGGCGGTTCGGACCCACCACCTGCTCTGTTTAAGATGAGCCGGTCCATTTCTATGAAGACATACAGCCTTGGAAACCCTGTTGGTGGTTCTGTTCTGTTCTACAGCACCCTGGGGGCAGGCAGTGAAATTTTTGTTTACTCTTACAAATCTTTGGAGGCAGGTGATGGTTCAGGACCCAGTGCTAGTTATGTTTCCTGGAGGCTACTCACCCAGGAAGCCCTTGGCCACCATCTGATGCAGGAGTTCCAGGCTTCCACCTCCAAACCGTTCCCCAAAGGCTTTGCCTAGATCCTCAGCTACATGTTTGGCTACATCCACGCCAACTTCATCCACCAAGGTGGCAGCACCCACAGGGAAGCCGAAGCTTGTGGTCAGTGAATCCAGCTTCTTGGGGTCCACTCCTTCCTGAAGGGAGAGTAGAGCAGGGAGCTCAGAGGAAAGCTCCCCAAAACCTCCTCCCACGAGTTCCCTGTGCTAGCCCAGATGAAGGCAGGTGCGGAAGCCACTTCTCTGTGTGGGTGTCACCTGTGGGAAATCAGTGTTCCCTAACCTACAGCAGCTTAAGGATGTTCAGAGGGGAATCTAGTATTCATGTCTGTCTTATTTTCAATTTTGAGTCTCAAGAACAAGATTTCATGGCAGATAGGGCTGTTTCCCATGACTGAGGGAAAAATGACCTGAAGGAACACTGTGGCAGTGGTACCAGGATCCCGTGTCTGCAGACTGGGATCCCCCATTTCCTGCCAGTGAATGACCTGTAAAGCCAGAGTGCATGCATGCATCTGTGCTGCGTCTGTATCTCTGTCTGCATGTGGCAGAAGTAGATGCAACACTGGACAGATCCAGTGGGCCCTGATCGAGATGGCTCCTGTCTCAAAGGAGACACAGAACGAGCACATGCGAAGTGTGTCTGCCTTCATGCAGCAGTGAGGTCTCTGAATAGAGGGAGCAGGGTTAAAATTCTGCCCAGCTCAGAGCAGCCCAAGCCTCCTGACCTCCGCTGTTGTATGGATACCACAGAGGGCTTTCTTGGAGAGAGCCAGGGGTTAACTCTAGGAGAAGGCTTGTTCCCCATTTTGATACCCTCCATCTGGAAGAATGATTTAAGGAGTGGAAGATGCCCTAAACTGCCCAGACAGCAATACTAACCTGGAGAATGCGGATGACTTCAGACATCATGGGCGCAAGGCACCTAGTGGTGTAGAAGCCGGGTCCATCCTGCCAACAGAGAGAACGTGAGCTCACTGGGACCTCTGTTTCCACTCTCCTTTTCTCAATAGCATTTCAAAATTGAAGGCGATTTAGAATCAGTCTTAAAATTCAGCTGGGGTGGTGTTGTGTGCCATCGAGTTGGAACTCAGCAATAGCCAACCCTCCAGTGGGTATTCAGAGGCAGTAAATTGCCCAGGAGGAGCAGCTGGTGGATTCGAACTGCATGCCTCTGGGTTGGCAGTGCAGCTCCTTATCACTATGCCACCAGAGCTCCCTGAAATCAAGCTGTAGGGGAAGCCTGGGGCAGAAAAGCCTGGCTCTGACAGCACAGCTCATCACTTGATGGTCACTGGGAAGGTCTGGAGTGGCTAGCAGCCCTGCAATGGACCAGACCCTCCTTGTTCCTATCCCAAACCAGGGAGACTGAGTCTATATCACTGTCCAGACAGTGAGAACCGGGGGGAGATCCCATCAAAAGCTGGTATGTATGTCCCTGAACAGTTTTACACAGGATAGTTACACATGAGCTTGAAGGTATAAGGAGACTAAACGGGATGCTGCAAAGACCTGCCAGTGTTACACAGTTCCTGACCTTGACCACGACGATGACCTTTCCCTGCTTGAGGCCAACTGCCACGGCCGAAGCCACCGTGTCCTTGGAGGTTTTCTCAGTTGTGACAATCTCCAGCAGCTGCATCTTGTCCACAGGAGAAAAGTAGTGCATACCAATCACCTGGAGGGGGCGAAAGGCCGCCAGTCAGGAGTGGGAGGGAGGGGATGAAAAGCAGGGAAAATGCTGGAGAGAAAGGTGGTGGGTGGTTAGAAGCACTGCTTGCTATTCCCTGTGGCTTGGCTCCATGGGAGGGCTGGCTGGAATCCTCTTTCATTGGCTTCTGGACCTTTTCCTTAAGGGCACTGATTTGACCAGCAACAGTGCCAAACCGCAGCAAGAGGCTGAACGAGATGGACCAGCGAAGAACGATGCTGGTGCCTCTTGTATTAATGGTGCTGACGGTTTAGGGAAGTGGTGTCACAGGGCAGTAGGGTGAAGCAGCACTTTCTCATATCAAGCTGTGCACGCTTAGCAGATTCATTATAACTTGTGATTCTCAAAGTGGGCACCACCTGGCAATGTTGGAACTACAACCTCTCCGCACCACCCTAAGCTTAGCACATCCGATTCTCTGGGGCTGGGGCCCAGCGCAGCGCTTTAGTTAATAAGCGCTCTGGGAATCTGGATGCATGCTAAATCTGAGGAACATCTCTTTTATGCTAACAGATAGTCTTCACAATAGGACTGTGGAAGAAACCGAACTCATTAATTTGTAGTTGGCCCCAGCTCCCCCACTTTAGCTATAATGTATAACTACGGGGATCTACCAGAACTATGCAGATGAGGAACAAAGACAACAAGAGGCTCACAGGAGTGGGTCAGTGTCCATGGCTGTGGCACAGGGGACTGTCACAGGGCGGCCTCTCCAAAGCCTGACCACTGACCACTATGTATACACAAATCACTCAACTTAGCAATCCCAAAGCTGCTTCTCACTCTTCAACTTTATATTAAAAATACTTACAAACACAGGACCTGACTCAATACTCTTGAAACAAAAGGAATTAGGCTCTTTGGACATATAATTTATATAAAATAAAATACACAGATCTTTTGAAAGTCCGATATCTGTGAACAACTATGTTGCTGCTGTTACGTGCCATCAAGTTGGAACCACCATCAAGTGTGGTCACCACCCCAAAGGCTCGAGCGAGCTGTGTCTGAGGCGAGCGGCTCGTCCTGAACTGTGAACTGCATGGGCCTGCGCCAGCTGTAGCACTACAAGCCCTGTGTCCCAGGAGACGCCTCCGTCTTGAGCACACGGAGACAGCTGCTCACCATGTCTGGGCTTCACTTTCTTATGGAGGACACGAGACCAGCTACTCCAGACTCCTGGAGGGTAAAACTGCAAAATGTGATGCTCCACTTCCACTTGCCAAGGAGACTGCGAGGTTAGCATCAAACCAACAGTGATGGGGCGCCTTCATGGATTCTGAAGGCTGCAGAGAGTTCGGAATGATGGGACAGGGCCCCTTTATACCGTTTTTGTGTCCCCCTCAGTGTCAGCTGCCATTCTTCCCTACGATTTCTGCCCCGTCATCACTGGGCCTCCTGCAGGCCCCACATCGCTTCTAATCGGCTATGTGCTAGGAAACTTGATTACCCTGTATTAGCAAACTTGGATAAACAGAGTAAGAACAAACGGGCTTTTGTGTTTGTAGCACACGGACGTCTTAACAATTTCTGCTGCTGAAAGGTCTTTCCTGTTTCCTGTTGGGCTCTGTTTGGTTCTGGGGAGCTGAGGCTAATTGGTATCTTCCATGGAAATGAAGTGTTTTATCTCTCCTCAAGTGATTTCACTTAATTACTCTGGTAGACACCAAAAATCCAAAGACCAATTTCTAGGCATCATTCCAAACACTCAGTGAAATTGCTCTAAACCCAGGCTGTTCCTGTCCTGGGCAGAGGGTCTGAGTGAACCCTGGTGGACACATCCCAGGGTCCTGAATATCTTGAATTCTCAGATCTTAAGGAGAAACCAAACCCATCAGCAGTCCCAGAGTCTGCTCTGTGGCAGAAGCCATCTTTGGGAGTATTTCTTCTTCTTTCAGGGCCTATCTTCCAAAGCCCACTTGTAGGATTAAGGTGGGTTTTAAAGTCGACACCTGAAAGGTAGGACACATCAGGGATACAAATCCCTTACATAACTGTACTTCCCTTACACTGGTCCTGGTATTGACTTTCTGTGCTCAGCTTATGAGAATAAACTGTAGCCCCATCCACAGCGTAACTCACACCAATCCCTTCTCCACTTGGGGCCCAAGTCTTCACTAGTAAACTATTTCAGAGTTCCTCCTCAGTGCAGAATTTACCTTTTCGGGTCGTTTGCTGACAGATGCAATTCGGTTGATGGGCAGAGCAGAAGTGTTACTGGCAAAGATGCAGTGCTCAGGAATCACCTGGAGGAAAGCATACAGGTGTCAGACAAGCCGAGGGGAAGACTCGAGTCCAGTGCAGAGCTACCGAGTGACACCCAGGCCCAGCCACCCTCTCAGCCCAGACATGCTCAGGCACAGGCTTCATTCAGCTGGCCCAGGGCTAGCTGTGTTGGGAGTACGTGGTGACCTTGTTCTATGCCCATTTCCAGGCTCCTTCTCGTTATGGCCCAGCATAAGGTCCCCTAACCCTGACCTGGGGACAACATCTCAGCAGCTGAGCAGGAGACTGTAAACAGAGACGGCTCTGAATCAAGGTTCATGCATCGGAAGACCAAGCCCAGATGTCACTGGCACTTCTTCCTTGGATCTGCTCTCAAGTCTGAAAGCTCATGATGATTTGGCATCCCCACCCTTCACCTTTGTAAAGACGAGCATGCCTCCTTTTGAACTGTTACCACAAATCCACACAAACGCATCCCATAGTTACAGCTGCAGCACATGAACACTCCTATCCGTTAGCCTCAGCCCCCAGGACAACCATTTCTAGACCTCTGAGCCTCTGTCCATGACTCCAACCTATTCAGGTTTTTCTGAAGATGCTCAATCAAGCACACGGGACGCACACGGGGCAACTGTGTGCAAATCCAGGAGAGGAAGAGCCAGGGGTGAGGATCAAGAGTCAAGATACATTTAAGGGGAGCTGTGGTGGCCTAGTGGCAAGAAACTGCAACTGCAATGCCAGAGGTTCGTGGTTCGAATCCACCAGATGCTCTGCCGGAGACAGAGGGGCAATCTCCTCCTGTACCAGTCAAATCCAATTGACGGTACACGCACAAAGAATAATAAAAAACAAAAACAAACAAACAAAACCAAAGATACATTTAACATGGTGAAGAGTGTAGAGTAAGTTCAGTCATCGTGTGGATGAAGGTAAAGAATTTCATTAAGATAACCAAAAAAAAAAAAAGGAAGAAAGAGAGAAACCAAAACCAAACTATTAGGTACATGATAGGCAAGACTCAACTTGGCAATAAACTTGACAAAGACACGGATATCACTTAGTCAAAAGTGTAATGCATTGTAGGCCAGGCAGGTTTCCTAAATGAAGAAGTGGTTGGTGTTTTTTGTATCAAAAAAATCAAACCATCGAGAAGTCAAGAGAACCCAATTCTTTTTCTTTACTGTCCAATCGTATGCAAGCTTCACCAATACCCATAGTTGTCTTATCCACCCTGGGTGGAAATAAACTTTAAAACTAGGCCCCCCCCCAAAAAAAAAAGCGTAATTCAAATTACAAATTCAAATGTTGTACACTGGTACAACATGATTGTAAGAAAGCTGAGTCTCGTTAAGAGGAACCTGTGTTTAATTTTCTGAGCAGAGCAGACCAGCATGTCTCAAGAGGGTTGGAGCCTGGCAAGTTTTCCCTCCCATCCAGATGTCTGTTTCTCCTCCTCTTTCCTGTGAATCTGTGTTACTCTGGGACTTGCTGTGACCAACAGAACACAGTGGAAGTGTCTCTGCCAGTTCCAGATGCAGCCTTAAGAGGCCTGGCTGACGGCAGTCTTGCACGGGACCCCGGCCCACACCACTTGGTGCTGAGGACCAGTTGTCTCTGCTGTGTGAGCCTTGCTGAGACTGCTGAACTGTGAGAAAATAAACAGCAGTCTCAAGCCTTTAAGCTCTGCAGTGGTCTGTCACACAGCATTAGAACGTTAACATATGACACTGAAGAAGACAGCCCAGACAGGGAACCATCTAGGATCAATGTACAGGACGTCAGAAGAACAGGCTTTGCTTAGTTCTATGGAAAGTGAAGAAAAGAAAATGTGTAGCTTCTTGAAGGACTGTTGTCTAGATCCAACTTTAAAAGGTTCTTACAAAGAAATGAGAGGCCAAGAACAATAGAAAGGTTTTACTACTCATGGGGGGATGGACCAGATGTCCTCCTTAAGGGTTTCTCACCCAGTATCCTTTGATTTTATAAGCATACATCTATCTGGTCTGGACCTCACTCTTTCCTATGCTTCCTGAATAACTACCTCAAATATCTCCTCCATCAGATGATGACTTCACTAAGTTTAAAAAAAAGAAGAAGGGGCACATTCTGTTAATAACCATGACAGACACAGCATAACATTTTTAATTGTACCATTCTCTGTAGTAATAATTACTCTACCTAAAGTGGTATCTCCTTAGACAGAACAATTATCAGGTAGAGCACTGGATTCTCTTTTATTACCTGCTAAAAATCAGTACTTGCCTTAATATCCCTCCTTCCTCCTCTGTTTCACTGGACACAAATTCGCCCCTCTGTGTGCTCCATACTCAGATAAAAACCCCTTGTTCTTCCTTTTTGCTGTTAAGCTGCCCTCCCACTGTCCCCTTTAACCTTTATGCCTCAACTGTATCTCCTCTCTTGATTTGCTCTTAGCTATGGTTCTCTTGATCTGATTCCTCCTTCCTCTCTTTTTTTGACCAGTGGCTGCTTAACTGCTAAAATGAACAGATTGTTCTCCCCTCTGAACCACCTGCTGCTGGCTTAGCAGTGTTTTCCGAGGGTCCTGGGGACCTGTTCTAAGCTTAAATGCTAACCAGTGCAGACGGGACACACCTCAATCCACCTCTTCTGAACTTTGTCCCTCAAATGAATCTAGCATTGCACTTTGCCTAAAGAAAAGACGTTGGACAATGTGACTCACAGGTGAAATTTACTCCCAATAGAGCTGCTTCCCTTCAGTTTCTAAATGTTCCCTGGGTTCAGGGTCACTAGGAGACTATGGGAGGACATCTGGGGAGCACTGCCTAATTCATTGCAGTTGACTGTTCCAAACAGTGTGTTGCCAAATTGGCTCCAGTTCATTTACACCATTTACTAACTGACATCTGTGTATCGGAGTGTAGGTTAGTTCAGGCCAATTTTACACCTGGATTACTACATTTCTACTTTTCTGGCCTCTTTCTGTACATCACTCACTCCATGTACATACATGTTCCGTTCACATCACCCGTTATCTCAAGGCTGGTCAGGGTAGGGAACATGGGATCAGGGCCCCGGGTTGCATTTCCAGAGTGAGCATCTGATTCCTGTCTGATGAAGCAGCTTTTCCTCAACTTCCTTTTCTGCACAAACTTGAGAAAGTTTTAGCTATGGTGTACAGCCAGTAAATCTCAAGGCACCTTGCTATCCACTCCATGACATTATATCTGAATGCTTGAGTAACTAAACTCCCCTAAGAATAAGGCCACGAACGCCATGTTCCTTGCTCTTCCTCTTGGGACTCAGGTATGACCTTTGAAGCACTTGCTGAGTGCATGGGCTCACAGAGGGTTCTATTTGGAAACAAATATTTGTATGAAAAGAGCCTTGAGTTTCCTATTCCTTAAAATCATGAGGTTATACAATTTGATGGGGGGTGTGAGGGAAATTGAAATAATTTGTTCTTGAGAACAATGTATTTGAATTTGGTAAATATATTAGTAAAGAAAAAAAAATCCCTTGGTGTCTTCTACTCACTACCCTTGGATTCTAGTAGAGAGGCCCTCACTTACCGTTTCCACTTCCTTGAGCACTTTGTGCTTAAGATTAAGGTCCTCGAAAACAGCTTCAATCACCATGTCAGCCTTTTCAAATCCCTGATAATCAAGCTGGCCAGTCAGGTTGCTGAAAATGTGGTCTCTTTCAAATGATGTTATCGACTTCTTCTTCACTTTATCATTCAATCTAGAAAAGAATCCCACGTTCTGAGCCAGAGGAAAAGGATAGGAACCTACCATCTACTGAGTGTGCACAAAGCAGGTGGAACACTGTGTGTTTTCTTCAATTCTGTGGGGTAGCTATTATATTATCCCCATTTTGAGAGAGCTGACTTGCTCATGAGAGCTCTGGTTGTCTAGTGACAAAGAGCTGTGCTGCCAACCCAAAGGCACGCAGTTTGAATCCACCAGATGTACTGCCAGAAAAAGATGGGTAACCTTCTCCCATGTGATTTAATGCCTCTGAAAACTCACCGAGGTTCAGGAAGACTCGTAGGCAGACAGCTATTCTGCAAGGGCCGTGGACTACAAATTCAGGCTGCCCTCCAGGTCCACTACCAGATTCCTCCAAATGCCCAAGTAACACACACTGCTTAACTAGTCTAACAGTTACACTTGCCAGGAGGAAGAAACAACACCAATACTAAATGATAAAACCAAAGAGTAGCTCTGGTAACCATCTACAATATGGTGTCAACATGTGTCCTAGACCACATGGTGTTGTATTTGCATGTGCTGTTATTTTATCAGTGTAATCTCCTAGAGGACAGATCCCAAACATAGTTTCTGACAGTCTCAATCCACTTTCTACTCAGCACCTAGTAACAAATGGTATTGATTACATAAAATATTTACTTAAGGTTTCTTTCCCCTAGGGACCTACTTTGACATGTGACGGATTATGTTTTAGTACCAAGGAAAACAGGCTCGCTTAGGTCTCAAGCTTAGCACACTTTCAGAATGAGTGAATGACTTTGAGTGAAGAGTAAAGCTAAGCTCCATTTGTGAATCTCTTTAACCAGAAGAAAAAGGGAAAAAATGCTAGCTAAATGGAAATCCCCTCCCCAAAAAAAACCCCAAAACACATTCAACCAAAGTCTTTAAAGATATGTGTTCAAAGATCTTTGTTTCTGAGGCCAATGTTAGTAGGCAGCAAGGAAGACAGACCTGTCAGAGTTTAACAAAACAGTAGTTGCTCTAATTCTAATGTCAAATGAAACATCTTCGGAAGAGGACAAGGAACATGTTTACATCTCAAATCAACAGTGTGGTGAGAGGGTACTCGGAGGGATGCTGCTTTTGGGGCATAAAGGGAGACCTGGCACAGCTGTACCCAAAGGAGACCAAAGGGCTTTTCAAGAGTAGAAAGTTCCCATTTTGGTGACTTGTAAAATGCCGTTTTGAGGTGCATGATGCTAGCCTCCAAATGACGCTATTATTTAAAACATGCCATTTTGGGGGGGACAGAACTGTTGACCACAACTCCTTCCTGCAGAAAAGGGATAACAACATACTTAAGCTCTGTAATCCATTTAAAATGCAAAAAAATAGCTCACTCAGCTAAAAAAATCACATGCAAGACAGACTAAGTGCAGCCAGCCTGTCCATTATATCTGAGTAGAGTTATGATGAAACCAATTCCCAGTTTGCCCAAGCTGCTGCTCCATTTCCTTCCCCTCTGCAAAATAGTCTGTGTGGGTGTGAGTGTGTGTACGAGGGGGGGAGAATGCAAGTACACGTGTGTGTGTGTGTGTACTGGCAGGGAGGAGGGGGTGGATACCCACTCTCTATTCATTCATTCAAAGGTAAGATGGAGACACAGGCTGTTAGGTCTCAGGGACGGCAGAGCCAAATCAGTCACCTGCTTCTCTACAGGAAGGCTAGTCAAGAAATACAAGCTTTAAGAGTTCTGATCCAAGCCCCAGCTCTATGTTGCTGTTCCTTCACATCTCTGTTTTTCAGCAGCATCACAACCATACTGTTTCCGTGTTCCATGATGGTATAGCAGTCACACAGGGCCAGTATCAAAACTCACAAACCTGAGAATATCTAATCTGACAGGAAAGCATAAGGTAAATGACATTTATAAATGTCCAACAGATCCAGGATGGACCAGTTCTTGGAGACAGATTATCATTCTTAGAAGGGTGGAGGGACAGTGTAGGAGAGGAAGACCCTGGTTGAGATGGAATGGCACAGTGACTGGGGTCATGAGGGTAGGTGTGTCGGAGACAGTGAAACCGGCTCAGGACAGGACAGGGTTCAGAGATGTTGTGCACAGGATTATTATTTGACGGCAAATAACAACCATCACCAACAATAGATCCATGTGGAAAGACTACACAGATGTTAACAGTCAACAACACTTGGGAAAAAACAGGTGAAAGAAAGAATTAATGCTTATAAAATCCAAAGGAAATGTGGATGGATACAGAGTATCTAATGATTACTGTTGTTAGATGCCATCAAGTCGGCCCACGACTCATAGTGACTCTACCCACAGCAGACTTGAACCCTGCCCTCTCTGCGCCAGTCTCACCACACCTGTGCCACTGTGCTCATCCAACTTGCTGAGGGTCTTCCCCTCGCTCACTGACCCTTCACCCTTCAAGCATGATATCCTCTTCCAATGACTGGCCTCTCCTAACGACATGCTCAAAGAATGCAAGGCGGGGTTCATCGTCCTTCCCTCCTATAGCAGTTGGTGGATTTGAACCGCATGCATCTGAGTTGGCAATGCAACTTTCTACCATGAAGCCACCAGAGCTCCCTTAACGATTATTAGGTTGAGGAAAAAGGAGCCAGTGAGGAAGGGAAAGACCATTCTCACTCCTGGCAGAGGAGGACAAGATAGAGAACACCCTTACCCCTTGAACACCTGTTGCTGTCCTCGGCCGAGCCCAGCCACTGTAGCGTCTTTAAGTATAGTCTTCAGTCCTTTATCCACAGAGACCTGGGCAATGCCAGCTCCCATCAGCCCTGCGCCAAGAACTGCCACATGCCTGAAAGGAAAGGACACAAAGACTTTTGACAAGCAATTCTTCTTTTCAGTAAAAGTAAGAGATTGCCCAAGATACCATGCATAGACAGAGTGCATCCAGCAAGGCAAGTACAACAGGCACAAAAAGAAGGCATTTCTATCTGTAAAAACATGCACCGGTAATGAACTGATGAGTATAAAAATCCATTAGATGTAAAAGAACTGGTATGTGCAAGAAGAGAGAAGGATATTGATCTCAGATCACACCTGGAGATTACCCAATTTATCTGGGTAGGTTAAAACAAAACCACTCAGTTTATCAAATCAATGGGAGCATTTTTGTTGTCCAGTGTTGCTGGCTTATCTTCTAATTACTTGTGAGTGATTTTACAATCTCCATCACTTCTATCTCTTCTGAAACTGGCCTCTGTTTCTCCCATCCTCTCAGTCGTCAGCCTAACCTGGGCTCTAGTCACCCCTTCTCCGGATTGTTTGGGAAGTTTCCTGAATGGACACTTGCGACAGCCTGCCTACTTCCACATATATGCACATTCTCTTTATTAATCCCCAAATTCCTCTTTTACTTGTCAGGACTACTTGGTTTACCACTTAGATTTCTCAATATAAAACTTAAGACATGGAAGAAGCCATCTAACACTAGAATGCTAGCTGCAAAGAACAGACATGAGATAGGAAAGCAGAATTTAAAATGCTTAAGTTTGACAGGTTAAAGGACAAGACGTTAATCATTGCAATGAGGCTCGAAGGCTTTATATTTTGTAATATGGAAGGAGTCTATGTATACACAGATGGTATTTCAAGCCGCAGAGATAGATGAAGTCCTTGTTCAACAGGGTATATTTAACATGTGTTTGATTCAGGACCCAAAAGTAAAATGCACTGCTGGTGAGCGGACGTTAACTCCTATCAACCTGACGGGACAGAGCAGAACTGCCCTGCTGGGTTTCCACGAGTGTCAAGTCTTCATGGAAAGCCATCTGGAAGCAGACTTCTTTCTGGAAGCACACTGCCACATCTCTCTCCCACACAGCAACAGGGGGGTTTGAACTTCTAGGCTGGCAGCAGAGGGCTTTAACCACCTTGCCCTTAGGGCTCCTTTGGTTTAGGACCAAAAGGTGGGGCAAAGCAATCTCACTGCCATTAGTGAGTTGCTTTCAACTCCTCATGACTCTAAGGGACAGAGTGGAACTCCTCCCTGGGGTTTCCAAGGCTGCACATCTTTAGGGAAGCAGACTCCCGCATCTTGCTTTGGTGCAGCAGCAACTTTCCCACTAGCAGCTGAGCCCGTACCTGCTGTCATCTAAAAACACACTCACTGCCATCGAGTCAGAAATGACTCACAGCTGACTCTCCAGCAAGTTTTCAGAAGCTGTAAGTCACACGGGAGGAGACTGCCCATCTTTCTCCCTCCGAGCCACACGGGAAATGAAATTAGACTTGCAGAGGACATCAACAGTAGGAGAAGCAGCAATCTCTTTAAGGGCCACTAGAGGGCTCTAAAAACTCAGAATAGGCTGACTTGGAAAGTCAACAGGAGAGAAGAGGGGTAGGGTCAAGACTACAGAATCGTACCATTCTGGTGGCCTATTGGCAAGAAGCTGCATTCCCAAAGACAGGCAGTTTGAATCCACCAGCTGCTCCACTATCTCCTGTGCGATTCACTGCCCCTGTAAACCCACTGGAGGGTCAGCTATGGGTCAGCACTCGATGGGTACAGAACAACAACATCTGATCTTCAAAGATATTTACAAGTTGTGTCACATAGTGAAATGCAGTTTCACTTACTTCACGTCCTTTTGAGGAATTCCAAATTTATTCTTTTTGCACAGGACCTGCCCTTGGTACAGCCCTATCAAGGCCTTTGATTCTCTGGTCATTGCAAGCTCTCCAAATTTCTGAAAAGTAAAGGGAACAACAGAATGTAGAACTTCCACCAGTCTAGGTGAAGTGAGGGAGCTCTGGTGGCTTTGTAGTAAGGGACTGCGCTCCCAACACAGAGCTAGGTGGTTCAAATCTGCCAGGAGGAAGACGGCAGTTTCCTGCGTCCTTGCGATACTGAGCTTCCCTGCAGAATAGTGGTAACACCCGTGAGCCTGAGTTCCTTAGAGGGCTTCAGAGGGCGCTGTACTACAGAAGTCTGTACCCCACGGGTGAGTCTTTCCTCGACTGGGCTTCACCCAAGGCAATTTCAGATCACTGCTCTGAAAGGCTCTTGGGTATAACAAGATTGATTCAGTGACTGAGGTAAGACAATGAGATTGGTGCAAGATAGAGCAGGGTTTAGGGTTTAGGTACATGGGGTCGCTATGAGTCGCAGGTGACTCGACAGCACATAATAACAACAGCAGTCTGTCTATACCAATAGGCGACAGTAGACTTTTCCATAGAATCAGAATGTCAAGAATCAGAAATGACTCATGAAGTGAACTCCCTCTGAAAGGACTATACTCTGCTGTTTTTACTTATACCCTCATCACGGAGTGCAAATTCTAGCATCTACAGACCACCAGCACCTCTTGGGCATCAACTTGTTCACGCAGATAAACCATTAGACACGACAACTACCGGAAGGAAAACAAAAACTTAAAAGGATTTGTATACTCTTCATTTTTTTTTTAACTTTTATAGCAAATTGGATCTTTGATTATTCCTGTAATGTAATTAATAAGAAAAATGAAAAGAAAAGAAGTTGCACTTTACCTGAGATTCAAAGAGGTAGCCAGCATCATTCCCTTGTTCGATACCGGTCTTTACTGCCTAAAAAGAAAATAAAAAGCACTTGTTCAGTGCTGGACGAAACTGGTGTGATACAGAGTGACAAGGAATAAAATTGTCACCATTGCCAGCCTCCAAAGAGTAAGTCAAAGGGGTCTAGGATGGGAGGAGAAAGAGGACCAGGTTGCCTGGTTACTTAGGATGGACTTGGTCCTCCACTTCTGAGGCTACTAGGAAACCTAACATTAAATAGATGTAGAAAGAAAAACAGGAGAAGAAAAAGGGTAACCAGAAAGAACAAGGATTCTAGAACCCATCATGTTCTTTCTCATCTCTTTGGATCATGGTGATCATTCCTTCTTGAGCATTTATCAACTGCCCTGTCCCTTTTATACAGCAATAACCTTCTATGCTTTCGAGTTGTAATGCTGGAGAAGATTACTAAATATCCCATGGCCTGCCTAGAGAACACACAGATATGTCTTAGAAAGAATGCAGACAGAGTGCTCTTTTGAGGGACAGATAGTATAACTGTGTCTCACATATTTTGGGCATGTTATTAAGGGGGCTAGTCTTTGGAAAAGGGTATTATGCTCAGAAAAGTTGGAAGGTCAGTGAAGAGGGGGAGGACAAAGGGTATTAGTCTCAGAAAAGTGGAGGGTCAGTGAAGAGGGGGAAGACCTCAACAAGATGGACTAATACCGTGTCTGTAACTATGGGCTCAAGTGTGGCAGAGATGATGTGGATGGCACAGGGTAGGGTTGGGTTCAGATCTGTTGTTTATAGGGGTCGCTATGAGTCATAGTGCACTTGACAGCACCTAACAAAGACTACCACCACTCACATACACGCATATATATATTATGTCTAACATTCCAGTCAAGACAGGGACTGGTTTTGTGTATCCTGGTGTTCTCAAAAAATAGTGGCTGATTCCAGATGTCCAACTACAATCAAATGGACTGAGAAATTGTGGTACATTCACATGATGGAATACTATGCAGCACGCAGGAGCAATGATTTTGTATATCACTACCTAACTTGGGCAAGACTGGAGAGAATTATTCTACATGAACTTACTCAGTTCCATAAAGACAAATACTGTATTAGACCTTTATTTCAGAAATAGATAACTAGTAGAATGTGTATGAGGATCCAAGGTGGGGAGCGTAGGAGCAGATGTGAGGATGGGCAGGGGGTAATCACAGAGCTGCACAATTTGATGGGTGGAAGGAGGGGCGGGGAAAAGACATGGGAAAGATCTGCTGTGAAAAACAATGTACACGAACTTTGAAAGCAAACCAGTACGAAATTAAAATTTTATTTTTTTTTAAAATAAAAAAAGATTTGCTGGAAAAAAAACCCCACCAAAAACATTGGTTGACTCAAGTCTCAATTGGAAGCCCCTGATTATTTGTTCTTTTAATCTTGCCAGAGCAAAGAGTTCTAAGGCTTAAAGTCTACCTTTAGACAGATGTTTCATCAACTCTGTGATCATTTCACTTGTCCTTGATCGTTTTTAGAAATTCCCTAGGAGACACTTCAGGTGCTGACAAGGATTTCTATTAAGAGTAGACACAGCTGGTAGTTTGATTTCAACCATCTCTTAATTAATGTTCAATATTTTATTGGCCTTGTTGCACTGATATGACTTAGGTTCTTTTGCTGGCTTATAAATGACAGCTTTGAATTCACCAAATGAGTATTGCTGGCACTAATATCCCCCAAATGTATTACTTTATATGAGCTCTATAGCCTGCTATGCTTTCCTCATATTTTTGTTAAGTATTTTAACAGAATTAAGAACTTCAGTGCTGACGCAAATGATCCAGAATGCCAATAGAGTACTTTATACAAAAGGAGGAAATATGAAAAATGGGAATATGGGGTGAAGACTCACCTCGATTATTTTCAAAGGCGCAGGATAAAGGCCTTTGGTTTGCTTTCGTACTTTTTCTTCTACCTTTTTGTAAACCTGTTGCCTGATAAATGGAATAGTCATGGCGTACGCTGTCAGTTCTGTAAAGTAAAAGGTTGCAGATGCTTATTGGAAAGAGCCTAGACTCCTTTGTTAGTTTGGTCTGTAAAGGCCACTAAAATGTAGCAATTCTAACTATCAGCAAGCCCTGCTCTTCACTCTGATACACACAATCTTGTGATGTCTGCATTTCACTTGAAATGCTTATTTGTACATAGCTAAACCTGGATGGGTATACGGTGTTGTGTAAAATTGTCCTACCTATTACCCCCAGCAACACTTCCATTTTGTATAAAGTTTTAAAAAATTTATAAAATTTTCTAAAAGAAAAAATTTAAAGGGAATGGTTTCAATTGACTGGTGTAAGGCTCAGGATTCGACCCTAGAACAGAGCTTTTATACCCTTTTATGATGAACTTGAGCTAAGAGAACACAAAAAAATGGGTTTACTGCATCCTCATTTCTCAGTCTTTAATAAATAAAATTTCTTAGGAAAAGGCTTTTGTCTTTGTTCTAACTATGATACTCACTTTCCACCAATCCCATTTCTCTCTTTGGAGAAATTGTCTTATTAGCTAGTCCTTTGGCAAACGTAACAGCAACTTCTTCGAGGTATTCGACTGTCCGCTCCTCTGGAGGTTTTAATCCTGGTCCTATACAAATGAACACAATAGATTGGAAGGCTAATTAGGCTTAGAGAGTTCTAAGTAGGGAAAAACCTAGCCATGCCAAAGCTGAAGGCTCCAGCACCAACTGCAGCATACTTTCCCAACTCAGACTTGAGAATGGTCAATGGTAGAGTCATGAAAGGAGCATCAGAGGTTCAAAGAAGGGGAACAACATTGAGCAAAGGTGAAGCAACATGCTGCAGACAGAAAGGCAGGTCTTAAACCACTTCAATCTGATTTTAATTTCTGAGAAAATGTAGTATGCCTCACGAGACCTGTATTCTTTCAATATAACTGGAAATTGCAAAGAATCACATTTTAAAGATAATGGAGATTATGCTGAGTGAACTAACTCAGTCTCAAAAGGGCAAATACTGCCTAAGACCATTACTGTAAAAATAGAAGGATAACTTACTGAAACACGCATGAAGGCTCAAGTAGGGAAGGGATGGGAACAGAGGGGTGAGGATGAGCAGGGGAGATATCACAGGGTCACACAATTTGGTGGGTAGAGATGGGAAGTAAAGGAAATGGGAAATATCTGGCTGAAAAAGATGGGGTAATAATGGGCATAATTAAATGGTGATTAATTTTAAAAAACACAATGTGGAATGATTGTATGAAACATAATGTGAATGGACAAAAGAATGAAACACAATGTATACAAATTTTGTATGAAAACCAATATAAAAGAAAAAAGTTTAAAAAGCTAATGGGGGAAAAAATGGAAAATTTTAAAAGCTCAAATAAGGAACAATAGCCCTGGTAAGGAAGAACTCTATAAATAATCTTGTAGGCATTACATCCCGGGATAAAACACAATCTAAGTTTCCTCCTCTTGAGCCCATATATATCCTCCCAGCATTTTAAGGTTCAGCATTTATGTCATAATAGAAAATCAAATGTCTATTACAACTGAGATACCAGTGTTTCTGCCAGTAGAAATCTTAGAAAAAAATGAGTGAAACATAAAAAATAACAATAGCTTTAACATTCTAAAAAAAAAAAAAACACAACTAAAACACCCACACAAAAATACCCAACCCACCAAAAATTTAAAACAAACAAAAAAAAAACCAACACAACACAAAAACACCCAACCAACCCCAAAACAAAGACACTGGAGAACTGCAGAAGTCATAGAACTAGATTAATTAAAATTCCAGAGAGAGAAGTGCCTTTCTTTTTTTCCTATTTTGTTATTATATTGTGTGTGTGTACCGTCAAATTGTATCTGACTGGTACAGGAGGAGATTGTCCCTCCTTCTCCAGCAGAGCAACTGGTGGATTCAAATCGCATACCTCGGGGATTGCAGCGCAGCTTCTTACTAGGCCACCAGAGCTTCCTCAGAAATGCCTTTCTGAGGTGATGATTATCAGAAATGCCTTTCTGAGGTGATGATTATTACTTTTTTCCTTAGGAGTAAGATGATTTTGGTGTGGGCCAAAGCAGAAGGATAGTACAAAGAAAAAGTGAAACCATCAGGAGTTTTCCATGGTTGCAAACAGATCAAAGAAAGGCTAAAAAAACCAAACACAAGGCCGGTTTTCTCCCCTGAAATATTTATGAAATCTAAGGGCAATGCTGGGTTAGAAAGGTAGATCCGAGCTCGCTCACAAGGTACTTCTAAAGAAGTAGGACTGAGAAAAAGACACTCCACTCAAGGTGTCTGCCAGGTTAGTTTTGAGCTTGCTTATGGTAAGGAACAAAAGAGGAATTTACAGGGATGAGAAAAGAGGTGTTTCCCATCAAAAGCCTGAAAAGGCACAGAGGAGGAGGAGGAGGGGGCTGATCTTTGTGCAGGATTGATACATTTAGAGGACAAAATCCCAACAGAGTGGAACTGGAAACAAATACAGAGTGGACCTCCTTGTTATGACATCTACTCTATTTTGAATCTATCTAGAAGAGCTTCAAATAGCAAAAGGCCCACAGAAATCATAATGTAACCCAACAGGGGTCATGGCAGCTACAGTTTGTGAGGCAGACGCTGGAGGAAAGCTGTACAAGAAGAGAGTCCCGCAGGTCTACAGATCAGTCCTTTTACAGACTGAAATGTGCTTCCTGAAGACACAGACACACTCAAAATCCCCACCCTTGTGCCTGGCGAATGAGACCTTTTTGGGGAAAATAGGATTTTCCTTGCTGATGTTATTAGCTAAATTAAACGACATCACATAGATGTAGGCTGGGTCTTAATCCTAATCCTTTCTGAGTATTGTCTTATAAAAAGAGTCACACACAGGCGGAAGATAGATGCCACATGGTGAAGAGGAGAGATGCATCTTTAAGTGGGCTGTTGGCAGCCACCAGAAACTAGGAGAGGCACGAAGACTTCCTTTTGCAAAGTTCTCAAGAGGTCCTGACATGGCCGGTACCCGGGCTTAGATTTCTAGACTAAGAACTGTGAGACAATAATTTATATTCTTTAAAGCTATTAGCTCTGTGGTATTGTGCTATAAAAGACCCAGGTCACCAAGACAGAGCCCTTGAAACTCTGGGCCCATTCTGCTTACACATGCATGAGCAGCAACCTGAGGCTGGGGGTGCCGAGGGGGGTCGCCATAAAGGAAGAGGCCAAATGATTCCAGGGACTCACACACACACACCTGGAATTGCCTTGTGTTTCTGAAATTTACCATGGAAAGACCTTGGAATACATGTGGCTGCGGTCTTAGGAAAGGACCGCTTTAGCAGTGGGATTAAATTAGCTATAGACTTAAGGCTGCACTAGACCCACCCATTCAAAGTGTAAAAAGATCCAAAGGCTCTGCGAGAAATCTGACCACATTCCAGAACAAAATTCCCAAGCAGTCAAACAAATACAACCAAATCTAGCACCCATCTAATGTAAAACCACAATAGCCAATAAAAATTATGAAACTGAGAAATGACTCATAATGAAGAGAAAAATCAATGGATAATGACAGTTCCAGAAATGACTGAGGTGACAGAATTAGTTCACTTTAAAAAGGTTCTTGTAAATATGCTATATATTTAAGGACTTCTGGTGGCATACTGGTAAGGAGTTATGCTGCCAACCCAAAAGGGCATGTGGTTCAAATCCACCAGCTGTTCTAAGGGAGAAAGATGGGTAGTTTTCTCCAGAAAAGATTTCCAGCCTCAGAAACCCAATGGAAGTTGGCGCTGAGTCAGATTTAACTCAACAGCAGTGGGTTTATATAATTAAGAAGGCAAAGGAAGACAGGACATAATTAGGAGAAATTAAAGTTATGAATCACATGTAACCTCTAGAAATGAAAACAAACAAACCAACCTGAAATAAAAAATACATTGGATTGGATTGGATTAACAAGAGATGACATACTGAAGTGAGAAAGATCAGTAAACTTGATTATTTGGCAGCAGAAAGCATTAAGAATGAAACCCAGAAAGAAAGATTTGAGAAAAGAAAAACAAGAGATTCATTTTGAGACAATTTCAAGAGATCTAACATATGAGAAACTAAGAGTGGCAGAAAAGATGGCAGGAGAGTAAGGAGACAGAAAAACAGTGGAACAAATAATAATAAAAAAGTCTGAAGAAAACTATTAACTGACATAGCCAAAAAGCTCAATGAATTCCTCATGTAAGAAACATTTGGAAAAAATCACCTATGTGCCTCATATACAAAAGACTAAACACAGTAAAAAAGGAAAAACCTTAGAGCAGCCAAAGGGAAATAAAAGACATATTATATACAGTGAAAGAAAGATAAAAGTAACAACAGACTTGGGAGCAGAAAACAACCAAAATGGACAGAGAAACAGCTATAAAGTACTGGTAACCTAGAGGTCTACAAGCAATAAAAGTTGTGTATTTCTGTAATTTCCCATTTAACATTTTGACCACATTTTGCCCCGGCTGACCACAGTGAAACCACACATAATGGTAGACTACTGCAATAAGAAAAACCAATCAAAACAGAATAAGCAAAAAGTTTGAATAGACATGTAATCAAAGACGACATACAAATGGCAAATAAGCAAATGATGACTATATTAAAAAGCACTTATTTGAAAAATAAAGCATCATTAGTCATTACATAATAGACAATAAAACTACACTGAGATATTACTACTATCCTATTAGAATGTTTGAAGACTGAGTGGCCATACCAAGTGACTGATAATACTCATTGCTAGAATGCAAAAGAATACAACCACTATGGAGAAACACTATGGCAGTTTCTTATAAGCTAAACACAGACCTAGCTAAGCCACTCTTTAGGATTTGTTCAACAGGAATGAAATACACACACACACACACACACACACACACACACACACACAGATCATTTGCGAGGATAGACTTTACAAGGGGGAATGTGGCATAAGGATTGGAGGGAAACTGATCAACAATCTGCATTATATGCAGATGGCACAACTTTGTTTGCCAAAGCTGAGGGGAACTGGAAGCATTTACTTCAGAAGGTCAAAGATTAAGCTCAACATCAAGAAGACAGATAATTCACTACTGGGCCAACCGGCAGTGCCATGGTAGATGGAGAAGAGACTGAGATTGCAATTTCAGCTTGTTCAATTCCACAACCAATACCCTTGGAACCAGTAATCAGGAAATCAAAAGTCAAATTGCTTTGGGAAAATCTTCTGTCTCCAGAGTGCTACAGAGCAAAGATGTCAGTCTAGAGACTAAGGTGCGCCTGATCCAGGCCATAGTCTTGGCAATTACTTGCTATGTATCAGAAAGCTGGACAATGACTAAGGATGACAGAAGAATTGATGCCTTTGAGTTGTGGTGCTGGAGAAGAATGCTGAACATACCATGGACCACTAAGAGATCAGGTTGCTCTTTGGAGGCAAGGATTTTGAAGCTCTGTCTCACATACTTTGGGCATACTGCCAGAAGGGACTAGTTCTTGGACAAGGACATCATGCTTAAAGGGTTAGAAGGACAGCACAGGAGAGGAAGACCCTGGATGAGATGGATTAACACAGTAACTGGAGTAATGGGGGTGAGTGTGTGACAGTGAGATTGGCTCAGGATAGGTCAGAGTTCAGAGCTATTGTACATAGGGTTGCTATGATGATTCGATGGCACATAATAACAAGAACAATACGCAGACTTACAGATGAACGTTCAAGCTTTATTCGGAATAAGCCCCACACTGGAAAGAGTCATCATTTGGTGAGTGGATAAGCAAATTATAGTGTACCTAAACAATGCAATAAAGAATCCTGGTGGTGCATTGGTTAAAGCATGCTGCTGCTAACCAAAAAAAGTTGGTGATTTGAACCTACTAGCCACTTAGTGGGAAAAATATGAGGCAGTCTGCTTCCCTGTAAGGCTGATGGCCTTGTCAACCCTGTGGACAGTGCTGCTCTAGGACATGATTCCTATTAGTCAAACTGATTCAGTGGCAATGGGGTTGGCTGTATAATGAAGTATGACTTAACAACAAGGAGCAACAAACTGCTGATGTGCATGAAAGAAAGAGAATGCTATGCATGTGTCACAACTCAAAGTGTATGTTTAAAAATGATTAAATAACCTCATTAAGTGAATAAAAAGGCAAAGAAATTACATATGGAAGAAGCAAATTGGTCGATGTCAATTACTGGTAAATTCTAATCCTTAGGTTGGCTGTATATTTGTTACATTATTAAAACACACAAAAAAATGAAGGGTCAATGATACCAATTAACTTCAGAACTAAGAAGAATGACTCGATTAAATTCTGTTATTCAGATGTTCTAATAATAATACTTTTTAAAAAATCCCCAAAATTGAGGTGATAGTGAAAGTAACTTCATAATTGTTGTTGTTATGTGCCGTCCAGTCGTTTTCGACTCATAGCGACCCTATGCACAACAACAGCCCTAAACCCTGCTCTATCCTGCGCCAACCGCACTGCCTCTGACACACCCATCCCGATTACCCCAGTCACCGAATCAATCCATCTATGCGTAGGTGTTTTTAAAAAATTTCACTCTTTAAAATGGTTACACACTTTTTAAGAGTATAACCAAAATTAAGGAGAATAAATCTTAAGAAAATAAGTAACTTCATAAGCTCAGTTCTGAGCTATGCTAACACTTACCCAGGGGCTCCACCAGTTGGTCAACCAGTCCCATCTTTTTTGCTTTATCTGCTCGAATATTTCTTCCAGTCAGCATCATGTCAAAAGCAGTAGGCAGACCCAACTGTATGTAAGCAAAAATCAAAGCATTGGGAAACGTGTATCAGAGTGAAAACTACAGTGTGCAAATAATTCAATTATCATTGCACTACAGCATCCAAGTCTAACTGTGGCCCATTAAAGATTAAAAAGGCTCACAGGCTTCCTTTGGGTCTACAGAATACAGCAATGAGATCATCCAAATCAAATAATGGGACAGAAGGCTTGTCTTTTATTTTCAGTATGAAATAGACCTAAAAGTGGGGAAATCTGCTATGAAGGTAATGTGTAGAGAAGAAACAAATCAAATCATAAACTGTAAATGAGCAAAATTTGAACCTTGTTTATTATTTTTATCTTTTTTAAGCATATGAAAAAGGACCTTGATAAATAATCTTGTAGAAGTGAAAAAAACAAATAAAATAACAAGATTAGAACTCTGCCATTGATTTTACAGACTCACATGTCTTTCTACTTAAAAATTCTACAATACTACCTGTCCATAGCACATGTTTTTGCATAAGAGGAAATAGATCTAAAAGGGTACTCAAACACCAAAATGTCTTAAACTCACCATTTTGGGGAGCCTCTGTGTGCCTCCTGCCCCTGGTAGTATTCCCAGGAGGACTTCAGGAGAACCTAATATTGTTTTCTTATCTTTCGTTGCAATTCTGTATTGGCATGCGATGGCAAGCTTCAAACAAATGAGAGAAAACTAAAATGTTAGAAAAAAGTAGCTTCCACTCTCTAAATGTTATTTTGTCATTTTTGAGAGCGCATAGCAAAACATATACAAATATAAAAGTTTCTATATGTACAATTTAGAGACTTTAGTAAACTTTTTGAGTTGTTGTGGTATTAGCCCAAAGTTGGCTTTTTTTAGCCATTACCTTAACCTCGTCTGGTCTTCAGCTACCTTAACTGCAGACTCGTGGTCTTGCAAATCATCAACAGCTATGGAACTAGAGTAAGAGAGAGAGCGCTTCCCACACTGGGTGATAAGACTTGAGGGGGAGAATGGAGCAAGACCAGGGTGAGTGCAAGACCCTGTGATGGTGGTGGAGAACCTGCGGTGCAGCATTACTGTGGAGAAACTGTGGCAAAGTGTAATCAGAGGAAGCCTGAGACAAAGGCCAGTTAAAAATTTTGCTGTTCCAATAAGTAACTTAAACAAAAAGATTCAGGATAATAATGATAGTTATCAACTGGGCTTAGCAGAACTAAGAACTTTAATGACAATTGAGAAAGATCAGTGCATTTCAGAGTTAATTAGTAGACATGAAGAGGAATCAAATATGCTTAAAGCTGAGTTAAATGAAGTAACATGTTTGCATAACCAAGCATTTGAAATAGAAAAAAACTTGAAAGATCAAATAGTTGAACTACAGAAGAAATTGGAATCAGAATTGAGTACTCTTGAAAAACAAAAAGATGAAAAAATTATCCAACAAGAAGAAAAATACAAAGCTATTATCCACGAGCTTGAGAATGATAAGGAAAAATTGGCCATGAGCCAAGAGCAGGACAGAGAACAGTTAATTCAGAAGCTTACTTGTGACAAAGAAGAAGCCATTCAGACTGCTCTGAAGGAATTAAAAATGGAAAGAGAGGCTGTGGAGAAAGAATTACTAGAAAAAGTTCAACATCTTGAGACTCAGTTAGCAAAATGTCTTGCAACTGAATCTGTCAGAGATGATTCTTCAAGTTTAGTTTCTGAACTTCAAGAAAAGCTTCAGGAGGAAAAAGCTAAGTTTCTAGAACAACTTGAAGAGCAAGAAAAAAGAAAAAATGAAGAAATGCAAAATGTTCGAACATCTTTGATTGCTGAACAACAGACCAATTTTAACACTGTTTTAACAAGAGAGAAAAAGAGAAAAGAGACTATAATAAATGATCTCAGTGATAAGTTAAAAAGCACAATGCAGCAACAAGAACGAGATAAAGATTTGATAGAATCACTTTCTGAAGACCGAGCTCGTTTGCTTGAGGAAAAGAAAAAACTTGAAGAAGTCAGTAAGTTACGCAGTGGCAGCTTTGTTTCTTCCCCTTATGTAGCTGCTGCCCCAGAGTATTATGGAGCTTGTGCACCTGATCTTCCTGGTGAAACAGAGAAATCCACCATGGATACAGCAGAGGAAGGGAAATTAGAGTCAGCAATGGAGACAAGCATGATGTCTGTACAAGAAAATATACATATGTTATCTGAAGAAAAACAGAGGATAATGCTCTTAGAACGGATGTCTCAGAGCATGTCTTCCGTATCTTCAAGACATTCTGAAAAGATAGCTATTCGAGATTTCCAGGTGGGAGATTTGGTACTCATCATCCTAGATGAACGCCATGACAATTATGTATTATTTACTGTTAGCCCTACTTTATACTTTCTGCATTCAGAGTCTCTACCTGGCCTGGATCTCAAACCAGGTGAGGGTGCTTCAGGTGCATCTAGAAGACCCTGGGTACTTGGAAAAGTAATGGAAAAGGAATATTGCCAAGCAAAGAAGGCACAAAACCGATTTAAAGTTCCTTTGGGGACAAAGTTTTATAGAGTGAAAGCGGTGTCCTGGAATAAGAAAGTTTAATAGAAGAAATTAATAACATTTTTGACCCGTCTTACAGCATCATTTATCACTCCCAAAACAGGCCATCCTTTTATACAGAGTCAGCGTGACAGTACTCTTCCTTGATGTACAACATTGACTTTTTAACTGGCTACATTTAGGAACAATAAATTCATCAGACTCTTGGCTGAAAAAAAAAAAAAAAAAATTTTGCTGTTCCAGCCAGTTATTGAAGGAAAAGCTGACATAACTGCTCTGAGGCAAACAATGCTTGATGATTTGGATTTGACTACTGAACTGAAGACTTTCACTAATTAAGGAATTGTGTTTTGCTCTTAATCTAGCTTAAGACTGCTGGATTTATATTGTGAGATATTCTGTGCCTCTCCCGCTCCCCAATCTAGTTCCTTATAAACTCCACTCTTGGTACCACAACTATGACTAAAAGTCTGTAAGTCAACCTTGAATAAATAACCATGAATAAATGAACTTCTTGCTGCTGTTATGACTCTAGAGGCACAATGAGGTTGGGCTACAGGCTCTTTATCTGCTTTCTATCTGGGACAGTGAGGGATTGTGCTGGTCTCACTCCCTTTGGCCCATTCAGAAAGACGCCCATGGCCACGTCCCATTTTCTGCTCTCTAGAAAGTTGTGCAACCATTTTTAACTCAGTGGCTCTTTTCTCATTAACATAAACTCCTTGTCTAATATTCCTGTGTAATTTTATGACATGATTTTGCCAATTAGTTCCCATACAGACTTTAAAGAGCATTATGCTTAAGGTAGACCTCTTTTACTAGTTAAGCAATCATTCAGTTTTAAGAAGACCTCAGGGCATTAATTTTGGTTTAAGGTTTAAACATTTCAGGTCAATTGTTTGGGGTTCATCTACCCTGCATGGCTCTAGAAACTCTGGAGTCCAAGAGAATTTGAAATTCTGTCATGTATTTTCTTCCTTTTGATCAGGAATCTTCTATGGAAATTTTGATCAAAATGTTCAAATAGTAGCCAGACACCATTCAGTTCTTCTGACACTGTGGCAAAGAAAACTGCAGCTCATAGAGCTGATTAGCCATACACTGCATATCCACCTCCTATTTTTGACACTCCTTCTCCTTTAGCTGTCCCAGGTAAATAGAGACCAATGCTTTTGCCTTGGCATGGCTGCTTGTAAGCCTTGAAGACCCCAGATAGTACACAATGAACTAGGGCATACAACAGAAATACTGATGTGTTATGAGGTCAATTAATTGGAACGTTCCATGACTATATGCCTCTAAATTCAGGAAACAACTCTTCTAAGGTGTTTGGTTATACAAAAGCAGCCTTAGCAATTACACTTTTTAATTCCTTCTGTTTTCCTATTGTTGTCATAAATATATCTATAGCATAATGTCTGCCACTACAACTTACTGATATCAATTAGTTGTGCAATTTTTGGTAGTTAACACGTTGCCACACACTTTTCAATGGAGACCATGCTTAGAAACACTTTTTTTTGCCGCCATTTGCGGCAATGTGTTAACCTTCAAATACTCATGAGTTAAAGAAGGATTTTTGCCTCAGATAAGCATCATTATCTTTTCTGACAATGAAATTTTTTAACCCACAAGATTCGAAATAAACCTCCCTATAGGCAATTTTGGAAACTATACCTTTATATTATCATATGATCTGTGAAGGTGTAAAGATTACTTATAAAGCAATAAATGCTCACAGAATAAACTGCATTTTTTTCCTGACATATAAGTGAGTTTATTCCATCATAAACCAAAAATTGCCTGAAGACACAAGTTCTTTAGAATTTGACAGGAAATACACAGTGTTTGGATCTAAAACTAAAATTCAATTTGCTGTTTTAGTTGTATTTTTTTTTTATTCTAGTGAAAGTTTATAAAGAACTTGGATTTCCATTCATTCATTGTTGCACATTTTCCTCCCAGTCCCCCCTCTTCCCTCAGCTCACTTTTTTCTTTGGAAAAAAGTTCTTTCACTGTTATACAGTCCCCTCCCCTCACTGCGACCACTTTACTATGCAACTATTATTCTGGACTCCTGTCTAAACGGTAATTCTTTAGGTGGGCATTTGATGCTTTCTATAATTTATCCTATCAGCCATATTTAATACTTTCTCCCTAATATACGAATCTTTTGGATCGCATATCTCCATGGAAATCCATTAAAAGCTATGAAAACTCTAAGTAGAAAAATGTCTACATAATTTTATATACAGGGCAACCTCAGGTTAAATTGCCCTGTCCTCTAGACACTCTTCCTTCGCAGGAGATCTACTTATGGTATTCTAATAGGCTTTGCTTACATCACATCAATGCAATCTTATCCTTGTCTTTGCTCACACCATGCCTGTGAGCTTTCTCCACTATTCTCTGATCAATCAAAGTCTGCTCATTTTGTTTTAGGACCAGGCCCAAGTTTCTAACTACAACATATGAAGATACCCAGCATAGAGGCCAGCACATGATATATGTGCAATAAGTGTTCCTTTTCATTTCTTTCCTTCAAGCTCTAGTCTCATGGCCATCTCTTCTGTCAAATTTTATACTATTTAGCATCTTTACTACTCACAAAGGAATCTTTGGTGGCTAAGAAGTTAAAAGGCAGAGCTGTAAACAAAAGTCTGGCAGTTCAAATTCACCAGTAGTTGTTCTAGGGACAAAAATGGGGCAATCTGCTTCCATAAAAATGTAAAGCCTTAAAAAATCAATGGGGCAGTTCTATTCCATCTGAATGAAAATCTACTTGATGGCAATAGTTTTTTTATTTTACTACTCACATAGCACTTACACATACTGTTTTGTGGGTCTCAACTAGACCATGGACCACAATTTGGTATCTTTGCCCTGCAAATCTGAACTGGATTTTTAGAAATGAAAAGACCTCAAGAATCTAGTTCTAATCTTGATTTACTAATGAAGATACCATGTTTCAGACAATTTGGTTCACTTACTTCTTCTGTGCCATACAGACGATGACAGAATAAGGGCTAAAATCTATCCAGAAATTTTCTAACTACAAAGAACATTGATTCCTCCCCTAGGAATTTTCTCAAGCATACAGCAGTCAAAAGTTTTTCTGCTGATCAACCCCAAGAGTGAGCTCTATAGCATCTTAGGGGGTGGGAATAAATCTTACCTCAAGGCCCCCTCCAAAGCAGGACCCATTGATGGCGGCCACAATAGGCTTTGTGGACCTCTCAAGTTTCGCAAACATTCTCTGTCCTTCCAGGGATAGCTGCGTTACTTCTTGGGAAGTCTTGCAAGAAGCTATCATGCTGCAGTATCCATAAAAAGCAGAGAACAGAAAAACAATAATTACTGCTTACTATCCACTCTATGTTGTAAAATTTGTGAAAGTCAGAACATTTGTAAGATAAAAACTAGTCAAAGAAAAAAATACAGAAAATATTTTCCAGTAAAATAAGCAACAGAAAAGTCTTAACGACTATACCTTGTCAGAAGAGGAAAACTTGTGAAGCATGGGAAAGTAAGAGGGATCCACTGAATGTTAGCTAACCCAAGTTTCAGTGTATTTACCTCTATCATAAACAATATCTACCAGATATAATATTAGGCAGTAAATTTTCAAATACTTAGAAGTTTAAGATTATTTTTCATCTCAAAGTAAATAAGTAACATCATATGATCTCTTTTGAAGAGTATATTTTTGAGACCATAACACATGAAACAAAGAGTTTTCCGTAATATATTTCTGCTTCTAATCAAACAATATCATTAATATCACACATCAGCAAAATCCTGCCGAAGATTACCCAGAGAAGACTTGAACAGTACATTGACAGAGAGCTACCAGAAATACAAGCTGGGTTTAGAAGAGGTCGTGGCACCAGGGACATTACTGCCAATCATATGGATCTTGGCAGAACGTAGAAAGTACCAGAAGAATGTCTATCTGGGTTTCACTGACTATGCATTTGACAATGTAGGTCAAAATAAATTGTGACTAACCTTGAGAAAAATGGGAATCCCAAAACACTTGATCCTACTTATATGAAACATATACTTGGACTAAGAAGCAGTCCTCAGAACAGAGCAAGGAAACACTGAACGGTTCACAATCAGGAAAGGAGTGCGTCAGGGATGCATTCTGTCCCCCACACCTTTTCAATTTGTATGTAGAACAGATAACTGGGAAGCAGGGCTTTATGAGGAGGAGTGTGGCATCAGGATTGGAGGAAGACTCATTAACAACCTACGATATGCAGACACCACCCTGCTTGCTGAACTTGAAGAAGACCTCAAGCACTTGCTGCAAAAGGTCAAGGACTGTAGTCTTCAATATGGATTTAAGCTCAACATCAAGAAGACAAAGACTCTCACCACTGGGCCAACTGACAGCACCATAATAGATGGAGAAGAGATTGAGGATGTTAACAATTACAGCTTGTTCAGATCCACAATTAACACTCTTAATACCAGCAGTCAGGAAATCAAAAGAAAAATTGCATTGGGAAAATCTGCTATCATGGGCCTCTCCAGAGTGCTGAAGAGCAACGATGTCAGTCTAGAGACAAAGGTGCACCTAATACAGGCCACAGTCTTCTCAATTACTTATTATGCTTCAGAGAGTTGGACAATGACTAAAGATGACAGAAGAAGAATAGATGCCTTCGAGTTGTCGTGCTGGAGAAGAGTCTTGAACATACCATGGACTGTTAAGAAAAAAAATCGGTCTGTCCTGCGGAGGGTGAAACCAAGTCTCTCCTTGGAGACTAGGATTATGAAGCTCCGCCTCACTTACTTTTGGCACATGGCCAGGAGAGATCAGTCCTTGGAGAAGGACATCATGCTCAGAAGGATGTATGGAGAGTACAAGAGAGGAAGACCCCGATGAGATGGATTGATACAGTAACTGAAGCAAGGGGGGTTGGTGTGTTGGAGTTAGTGAGACTGGCTCAGGACAGGGAAGGGTTCAGAGCTGCTGTACATAGGGTCGCTATACATCACAGCCAACTCAATGGCACAGAACAATAATAACATACTATGACAGGTTTGGAAGCAGAAGTGGCATCCACTTCTTAAACAGCATGCCTCTGGAAACTCTATGAACTTTGATAAATGTCGATAGTTGTAAAGGGGCTTCAGGCCTTTTGTTCATGGGGTCGTTACGAGTCGTGCTCGACTCATAGGCAATCAACAACAACAATGTAATGAATCATTAGATTATAAAGCACTATAAAGGAAGGAACCATCTTTTGGTAAATAGTTTTACTCTCAGATGAAAGACTTTTATATCCAGGAAGCTATTAGATTAAGTAGCAAACAAAATGACAAGGGAAAAAAGAAAAGATAGTTGTCTGGAGAAATCTAAAACCTTTAAGTAAATCTCTTAAAGTTTAAAAGACAGTAACACTAATGCGTGGCAGGTTTCAGTCTGCATCCAGACTTACGTCTACTGGGAGCTCTGGTGGCATAGTCTACAGAGCAGACTTAAGATTTACAGCCCAGAAACCTGACGGAGGGTTTCATGAATTGGAATCTATTCAAGGACAGTGAAGGAGTTCCAGAGGCACCACTTTATGTGTTTGGCTGCTATGGCTAGTGGCTCAAACCCACCAACTGCTCCTTGGGAGAAAGATGGTAATAGTCTCCTCCCTTAAAGATTTACAGTGTTCAAAACCAGGTGGAGGGTCACCATGAGACAAAACTGACTTGATGGCAGTGGGAAGGCTCCAGTAACTCAGAAGAAAAGAAAAAGCACTTGATATATACATCATTTTCTTTAAAAGTAAACTTTAAAAAACAATATTCATTATAAAAATAATATGTTAGTGGTAAGGACATACTTTGGATAAGTTGCTAGGAGAGGTTATTCCTTGGAGAGGGACATCATAGTTGGGAAGGTAGCGGGGCAGTGAAAGAGAGCAAGACACGGTGACTACAGCACGGGCTTGAGTGAGTCAGAGATTGTGAGGGTGGGGCCGGAGAGGACAGGGTTTAGATTTGTTGTTCACGGGGTCACTGAGTTGTACTCAACGGCACCTAACAACAACAGTGGTAAAGAATGTGCTGCCATCCCAAAAGCATGCGGTATGAATCCACCAGCTGCTCCGAGGGAGAAGGATGGGCAATCTTCTCTTGTGAGATTTACTGCCTCTAAAACCCACTGGAGGTCAGCTATGAGTCAGTTCTGACTAGAAGGTAAACAACAACAACAAATAACAAACAATAAAAGGGATACATGTTGGAGCACAGTCTAAAATAAAAAATTTCCGAGTATAAATTACTAAACTATGCCAGTCACTACTGCCTAAAACACAAAGTAAAATACAATTGCCATATGTTGACAGAATTGACAATCGCTAACACTTTAACCCATTAAAAACAATAATGAGGCAACATTTCTCCTTCTACATTGTTGTTGTTTGCTGTGGATTCGGAACCAACTCATAGCTGACCCTCCAGAGGGTTTTCAGAGGCAGTAAAGCACAAGGTAGGAGCTTATCTATCCTTCTGAGAAGCAGCTGTGGATTCGAACTGTGTGCCTTTGAGACTGCAGCGCAGCTTCTTACCACTATGCCACCAGAGCTCCCTTCTACACTCTTAAAAGACTGCAAACAAGTTATACATGCATACAATGTGCCACCTGAAAAACAGAAAACATCAGCTCCATTTGTAAAGTCCCATCTGCTCAGTCTTCCAGTTCTACTACCTAATTCATTTTGTCGAAAAATTTCCTGGTTTCATATGCTCACATTCTTCCAGACAAAATGTAAACATTTGCAGCTACAAATAATATAAAGAATTACACATTTAATTTAAAAACTTCCATGTAAATTATATATTTATGAACATTCTACCACTTGTGTTTTAACCTAACACTCTATGTTTGAGATCTAAAATTACATTACGAGTCTAGTTAATTAATTCCTTGTAGCTGTTTGGTAGTATTTTATCACGTGAAAAATGCCACATTTTACTTAATTCATTTCACTGCTGACTGCTATCCAGTTTGTTCAAATTGTTCATTACTTTAAACTACAGTGTACTGAATATCCTTACACATGGGTCTTTATAGCAGAAGATGAGATTTCTCTAGTGACTTTACCGAGTTGTAGCAATAGTGCTGCATCACATGACACACTTTGATTTTACTAAATCCTGTCACAGTGTTCTCCAAAATGGCTGAAAGACTGGCACTGTGACTAATAATTCACATTTTTATTTCTTTAAAACTTTGCTAACACAAGATATTTCTGTACTTTTAAATGCATGGTGATCTACTGGCTAAAAAAACCCAACAAACAATAAAGGAGGCTGCGCTGCGATCCTGGAAGCATGTGGTTCGAAGCCACCAGCTGCTCCGTGGGAGAAGTATAAACAATCTCCTCCCATGCAATTTACTGTCTCTGAAACCCATCAGAGGGTCAGCTATGGGTTAGTTCTGACTCAATGGTACACAACAACAACATGGTCGATTGAATTTTATAGTTTCATTTATTTCATTCAATTATTCTAATAAAATTCCTTAGCTTTTACACTCTTTAAGGAAAATGGTCAATGATAAGGTCTTTCAATTTTATCAATCTTATTACTGAAAATAAACTAAGAAAAGAAAGCCTTTCATTGAACTTTTTTCTATACTTTTTTAAAAGGAGAAGTTATTAAGCCCAAGTAACCTATTACTAACTGAGATGAAAGGCAACTGTGAACTCCCCTGGAACTTACTTGACATCAGCCCCAGCAATGAAGCAGCCTGGCTTTGTTGATATAATCACAGCACTTCTCACTTGATCACTAGCCCATACTTCATTCATTACTTCTACAAACTCAGACTGCAGCTCTCTATTCAGCGTATTTACCTGCCAAAGGAAAGTAAACATGCAATTCAAAGTCATTTAAATGTAAAGTACAAAGTGCACATATCACCATCAAATGCAATTCTGAAAGTAGGCATTAAGTTGAGGCAGCAGAAATATATGGCTACAAGCAATCAAAGACAGGCAGAATTGTCCTTGGGTCTGTCCCTCATTAAAATCCAAGCCAGCACAATGCACACAAACGTTTGGATAAACATAGTGTAAACAAAGATAGTGTAAAACACAATGTACATGAATGAAACACAATGTAAACAGATTACTGCATATAAACCAACTAACTCCACCCTGCTTCCAAAAAAAGAGCAACACAAAAGCAAACAAACTCAAGCCACAAGATTTCTGTTCAAGCAGGCAGCTTTGGCCAACTATAGCCTCAAATCCCTCTGAACAGGTCTAGCCAAAAGAAGAACTCAGGTTCATATTCTTAAATGTTTGACCATATGCAGTTTATAAATAAGACTACAAATGTTTGTTGGTATGGAAAACACTGTATTAAAGAGAAAAAAAGATTATATCATCTCACTCCCGCAACAATAGCAAAGTTGAACTGGGCAGCAAATAACAAATGCTGGTGAGGTTGTGGAGAGACTGGAACTCGTACTCACTGCTGGTGGGAGTGTAAAATGGTACAGTCACTATACAAGGAAATCTGTAACTTTCTCAAAACGTTGGAAATAGAAATATCATTGGACCCAGAAATTCCACTACTGAGAATATTCTCTAAAGGAACCAGAGTCACGACTCACACAGATATATGCACACCCATGTTTGTTGCTGTGTTATTCACAATAGCAAAGGGACAGAAGCAACCCAAGTGCCCATCAACAAACCAATGGATAGAAAAACTACGGTACATTCACACAATGGAATATTACACAACACTGAAAAACAGTGAAGTCATAAAACATTATACAACATGGGGGAGCCTGGAGGGCATTATGCTGACTGAAATTTCTCAGTCACAAAAGGACAAATACTGCATAATACCACTGTTATAAGATAGGGCAGACGGGGGGGGGGGTGTTGGGAAGAGAATAGAAGAGTGGATAGATAATGAATTCTGCAGTAGAACAGATGAGGGAAGAAGTGTCTGAAGGGAATATATGATTAGGCATTATATGTATGACAACAATCTAGAACTAGGGATGCATTGTAGGGTGGGCTAGGGGAGGGAGAGACAGGAAGAAAACGTACAATAACGAATTAAACAAAAAAGGAATAAAAATTAGACATACAACTAACTAAAACTGGGTTAAATAGTAAAGGTGGACTCTAATTATGAATGTTTATTATTTTCTTTTAAAATATTTTCTAGTTTTAAAATTTCCTACCATTGAGCTCTAGTGGCATATAGGTATGTATTTGCGGTCAGGAAAAATAATGAACTTGAAAAGACTCTGAAAAAGCATCTATAATTTAAATTAGTTGTCATTGGATACCAAGATTTACTCTAGTGAAAAAGAATGAATCTTCCTTTAAAACTTGTTACAGTTGTCAATTGCTTCTATTTATTTCAACTAGGTCTCTGGTGCCACCATTTGTGAAGTATCAAACCTTTACATCAATTTTAAATGCAGGAAAAATGAGAATTCCTACAATATAGCCCTTAGCAAAACACTGGATTAATGCTGCCTACTTTGAAGTGCCAAGAACAAATAAAATTTCTCTTTGAACAGAACTTGAATTCCACTATGTGAACTGAAGTTATTCATATCCTTTAGGAAGCATAAGAGCTGCTGTTTATATTTAATCCAGCCAACTTACTCACTATGAATAACAATTTATGTCAGTGGCAAGTAACAAAGAAACTAGATTCTATAAGCCCGTATTTAAGATGGGAAGGTCAAAGTGGAAGGGGAAGGAGGAAGAGGGAAGTAATAATAATTTTTAAAAAAATTAAAAAAAAAAAAATAAACAAGATGGCAAGGTGAGTTCTCATTCTTGTAGACTAGGTGTACATGTCAGTTTTTAGCTAGTAACTCCCTATCCTATTCAATATTATAAGAGAGGGCCAGTCTCCGCAATCTTTGATTTTTAACCTGATGCTTAAAGTCAACCAGAAGAAATTTTACACAAAGACTCATTTCTGTAATCTTTCTTTTAAATCCAGCCCTAACTAATTTAGCTATCAAAACTGTAAGGCCAGGGGGAGGGGGGTGAAAAATACAAAAACTCTAAGGCCATATAATAATGTTAGTGCCAGATCAGTGAACTTATCTCATTTTCACTCAGGACTGAATTAATTAAGGTAGTAGAAAAAAAAAAAACCAAACACCACAGGTAGTTAAACTAAGTACCTTTGAATTTGGTGAGTTGATTCGAATAACTGCCACATCCCCTTTGACGCCATAGTTAATATGGCTTCTGGCTAGAAAGAAAGAAAACATACTTGTAAAGATGTTTATGTGAAATAAATATGAAAACAAAACGAGCCTAGCAGTAAGAAGCTGAACTGATAATAGTGGACATAGATCAAAGATGATTAATTTTGTAAGACACACACACACACACACACACACACACACACACACACACACACACTTAAACTTACCCAGCAATTTAGAGGATCTTGTAAAGTTACGGCAACTATAACCTATAAGGAAAAGGTATTCCAAAATTAATTATTTTTCAAAACAGAATTTCTGTAGCATTTGTTAAAAATAATCAGGTAAAAAAATAATTAGTCCGTCACTGCCATCAAATTGGAACTGGCTCATAGGTGATCCTCTAGACGGCTTTTGGAAGCTATGAACAGCATGGGAGTAGACTGCCCATTTTTCTGCCATGGAGTCACTAGAGGATTTGAACCAGCAGAGAGGCATTGCCTTTTCACTAGCAGCACAACTCCCTATGGACTATGCCATCAGAGCTCCTTTGTCATAGAAGATGAAGGTGTAATTTATCAGGGGAAAAAGGGAGGAAAAATCAGAACAATATACTTGAGGTCATTATCATAATTCTCATACCCAGTGCTATCAAGTTGATTTTGACTAACAGCAACCCTGCATAACAAAGGAGAACTGAGAACGGCTCTATAGGGTTTCAAAGACTGTAAGCCTTCATAGAAGCAGCCTTTCTCATTTTTCTCCCATGGAGCAGTTGACAGATTTGAACTACCAACCTTTTAGTTAGCTGCTGAATGCTTTTAACAATAACACTACCAGAGCTTTTGTTGATGTATGTGGAGAATTTATGTTTTAATGGAAAAGGAGAATCTGAGCAACATGCCAAAGAATGCAAGCCGATTCCAGATGCTCGAAAAGGAAAGGATTCTTTACCCTAGAGTATCCAGGAGGATGCAGCCTTGCCAACACCTTGAACAGTGTGAGCCATGTCAAATTTCTGATCTCCAGAACTGTTAGAAGATAAATTTATGTTGTTTGTGACACTAAGTTTGTGGCATTCTTTTGTAATAGCAATAGGAAACCAGTACACTAAGTAATAAGTAATTATAATACTAATAAGTAATCTATAAAACAATCCAGTGTCGGTTTCAAATACATTCCACATATAATTTTACTAATTTTCTAGCCACATACTCTTGAACTTTTCTGGACAGATTTTTTGGTGCTATCAAAAGTAAAATAAACGGGGAAGGGTTGGGTAGGGAGAAAAATGCAGCAATGAATTAATGGAAATTAAAAAAAAGTAAAATAAATAGGTGATAGTGGCTCAAATGAAACACTGCTTCCCATACATGGCTTTTTTAAAATTGGGAATATGCACAATTATCTATCAACTATCAGACTGGTCAATTACTTCTGTAATAGGCAGGACCAGTCAAATTAGAATCATGTTCATAGAGAAGTTACTTTCAAGTTCTCACAGTTCTGATAATTAAAATTCATGCAACCTCTAAAACGGACTAGTGATTACCAACAAAACAACTGCACATCAAATTCCCTATTTTTACCCCACCTCTCATTTACTACCCCCTATTAGTTCTGACAGGCTTACCACGGCCCAAACTTGAGATATGCTGGGTTATTATAAAGGTCAAGAAGAAAAGAGGCAAAATATTTTTAAGTGGGATCATGTACAAGTATTTATAAATGACCAAATCTATGCTGCACTCCACAGAAAGACTCCTATTCTTAAGATAACAAAGACTGACTATTCTCCTTTCACCTCCCTATCTCAGGCTGACTAGCAGTGTGAGAACAATACAGTCTAAATTACAACTACTAAAATTGTAAGCCTAAATGATATTAGGGAGTTCTGGTGGTCAAACGGTAGAGTTGTGCTGCTAACCCGAAGGCATGCAGTTTGAATCCACCAGCTGCTCTGCAGGAGAAAGATGTGCAACTTTTCCCTGTGCAGTTTACAGCTTCTTGGAACCCACTGAAGGGTCAATTATGAGTCGATTCCACCTCTTTGGCACAACAACATATATAAGGAGCTCTTGTGGCCTAGTGGCTAAGAAGTTGTGCTGTCAACCCAAAGACAAGCAGTTTGAATCCACCAGCTGTTCCACAGGAGTTAAAAATGGGTAGTCTCCTCCCACTTGACTTAAAGCCTCTGAAAACCTGCCAGGAAGGTCAGCTATCAGTCAGTTCAACTCACTGTCAGTGAGGTTTGAGATATGATATTATAGCCAGATTGGTAAATTTATTTCAAAAAAGATCAGAATTAACTCAATGGCAACAGGTTTTATTGCAAGGGACGCTCCAAAGGAAAGCCCTTCAATCTAGATTCTGGTCCAAGATAGAGAACATTCAGGAATTCCAGGCAAATATGTCCAAGTTTATTGTGAACATTATTCTATTACGCTATCGCTTTTACTATTGAAGGCTCCTCTCTGCTCTGTTTTCATCCACACATCTCGCTCAGGGTGGTCTCTTTGGAGACCAGCCAAGACTCAACATCTCAATAACAACTTACAGTCTTCTTCAAAAACAGTTTTTTCTTCCCTGGTCTGTCCTATTCATGGTTTACTCCTACACATCTCTTTAACTTCTTACTCTCCCTCTCTGCCTACATATTTTGTAACTTTCCCAATTATCTTAGGAAATGTTTCTTCTTTCTTTGGTTCTAGAAATAAAACAAATCCCTTAGCAATTCATTACAATAACTGGACACATAAAATATTGGAGCCAGCAAGAGACATTAGTTTTAACATAATTATAATAAAGGACCTTTAATGATACCCACTATTTCCTTCATGTATTTTCTCTAATTCTACTAGCAATTATTCAGGTGCTAAACATTTAATTATCAGTTAATTAGTAGTAGAGCCTCAGTTCTAATTTTCATGTAAATACGTAGCATCTGGGCTACTGCAGGGGTTTATAGCCATCAGACTGGTGTCATCCTTTTAGTGGCCTGCATGTTATTGTGACACTAGAAGCTAGGGCACTGGTATGTCAAGTATCAGCTGAGTCATCCATTGTAGGCTGATTTCAATGGAGCTTCCAGACAAAAGATGAGGAAGGAACACCTGGCAATCTACTTTTGAAAAACAAGAAAATGGTGGCCAAAACTTTACGAAGAACAGCAGAACACTGTCTGATATGGTGCCAGAAGATAAGTCCCTCAGGTTGAAAGACACTCAAAATATGACTGGGCATGCACATTCAGGTTTACTGCTGCATTATTCACAGTAGCGAAGAGACAGTAACAACCCAAATGCCCATCAGCAATTGAATGGATAGAAAAATGATGGTATAGTCACACAATGAACTATGAGGAAAAGACCAAAATGGATGTCACATGAAACTCTGAATATTGCACTGGAGCACAGTGAGGCCAAAGCAGAAGGAAGAATTCAAGATACTAAAGAGCTGAACAGAAGATTTCAAAAGGCAGCGCGGGATGACTAAGTGAAATATTACAATGAAATGTGAAAGGACTTGGGAGTCAGAAAATCAAAATGGCCGAACTCGTTCAGCATTTCTTAAGCTCAAGGAACTGAAGAACAAATTCAAACCTCGAGTTGCTATAATCAAGGATGCTTTGTTGTTGTTGCTATGTGCCACGGAGTCTTTTGCGACTCATAGCGACCCTATGTACAAGAGCCCTAAACACCGTTCTATCCTGTGCCAACCTCGCTGTCTCAAACACACTCATTCCCACCACTCCACTCACAGAATCTATCCATCTCATCAAGGGGTCTTCCTCTCCTGCGCCGTCCCTCCACTCTTTCAAACATGATGTCCCTCTCCAAGTACTAGTCCCTCCTTGCAACATGCCCAATGATCCAGGAAGTATTAAAAGAAGATGGAAAGAAATATACTGAGTCACTGTATCAAAAGGAATTGGCAGACACAGAAGAATTTCATGAAACAACATATGAGCAAGAGCCTATGTTGATGAAGGAAGAAGTTCAGGCTGTTTTGAAGGAAATGGCAAAAAATAAAGCTCCAGGAATAGATGGTACACCAATTGACATATTTCATTTAACAGGTACTGCCCTGGATGTGCTCACCAAGTTGTGCCAAGAAATCTGGAGAACAACCACTTGGCCAACTGACTGGAAGAGATCTATATTTGTTCCCATCCCAAAGAAGGGTGACCCAACAGAGTGTGGAAACTATAGATTTCACATGCAATCAAGATTCTACTGAAGATTATCCAAAAACGACTGGAACAGCAGAGAACTGCCAGAAGTCCAGGCTGGGTTTAGAAGGGTACTAGGGATATTGTAGCTAATGTTAGATGGATCTTAGCTGAAAGCAGGGAATACCAGAGGAATGTATATCTGTGTTTCATTGACTATGCAAAGGCGTTTGACTGTGTGGATCACAACAAGCTGTGGCTGACTCTGAGAAGAACTCTGATGGTGCTAATGCGAAACCTATACTTGGACCAAGAGGTAGTCGTCAGAACCAGAGCAGGGAAACACTGCATGGTTCAAAATTGGGAAGGGCGTACGCCAGGGATGTGTCCTGTCTTCATACCTTTTCAACCTGTATGCAGAACAGATTATCTGGGAGGCTGGGCTCTATGAGGAGAAATGTGGGGTCAGGATTGGTGGAAGATCTATCAACAATCTGCGTTATGCAGATGACACAACCCTGCTTGCTGAAACTGAGGAGGACCTGAAGCACTTGCTGCAGAGGGTCAAGGACTGCAGGCTTCAGTATGGGCTGAGGTTCAATGTCAAGAAGACAAAGATTCTTACCATTGGACCAATTGGCAGCATCAGAATGGATGGTGAAGAGATTGAGATTGTTTACCACTTTAGTTTGCTTGGCTCCACAGTCAAAGCTCTTGGCACCAGTAGTCAGGAAATTAAAAGACATATTGCCATGGGAAAGTCTGCTGTTAGGGACCTCTCCAAAGTACTGAAGAGCAGTGGTGTCTCACTGGAGACTAAGGTGCATCTGATACAGGCCATGGTCTTTGTAATCAACTTATTTGTTATGCATCAGAGAATTGGACAATGACTAGGGAGGATAGAAGGAGAATTGATGCCTTTGAGCTGTGGTGCTGGAGAAGAGTACTGAGGGTGCCATGGACTGCTAGGAAAATAAACAGATTCATCCTAGAGAGGGTTAAATCGTGCTGCTCCTTGGAGGCAAGGATTCTGAGGCTTCGTCTAACATACTTTGGACATGTTGTAAGGAGGGACTGGTTCTTGGAGAAGGACATCAT